TTATTCCAGCTTGCAGGACTGGCCTAGGGTAATTTTTAGAGGGGTTTTAATTATATTTTAATTGGACAATGTTCAAATATTTCTTTTAATTAATTTTAAATTTGTAATTGTTATTTATGTATTTTAATTGATTGTCAGCCGCCCTGAGTCCGCGAGGAGAAGGGCGGGATATAAATCCAAATATAATAATAATAATAAAGGTGGGATGTGGGCTAAGAGCCCAGCTGCGCCATTTCCCCAGGGATACAAAGCAGTAATCTGGCATCTATTACTTTGCGTATAAGAGGTGGGCGTTCTTTTCTCCTTTCTGAAATCTATAAACGTCCGTGCATATCTTTTATTTTATTATTCCCCTCCAATTCGTCTTGTTTCGTTAATAAACACTGCAGCAAACCTGACCGAGCGGGGAGTCGGTCTCTACGTGAGCTCAGATTAAAAAGGGAAAGCACGACAGAGGAAGGAACAGCTCCTCTGAACATTTGCCCAGCTAGGGAGTAAGAAAAAACTAGGGCAACATAATGCTGCATTCCGATGGTGTCACCCCCAAAGTGCATCTTCTGTGCCTGTTCTGCAGCCCCTTGGCCTCCTGTTACCCTATTAATATTAATAATCAGCCTTTCAATAATAAAGATACAAAATGATGACCTTAAAATGCCGTTTAAAAGGCATTTGGTGGCTGCTATACCTGCTTGGACCACAGGATGGCACTGTTTTCTGTCCCTTAGCAATAGCTTTGAGGCCCTCAAAAAAGGCCCAGGATGGCCTCAATGCTAACGCTATGCGACAGAAAACCGTGCCACCCTGTGGTTCAAGCAGGTATTGCACCCCCGCAAAGAAATAAACCGTTTTAAGGGCATTTTAAGATTATTCTGTATCTTTATTATTGAAAGTCTGGTTATTAATAAGACAACAGGAGACCCGTTTGCTGCAACGCAGGCACAGAAGACGAAATCCTGCTTCAAAACCCTTAAACCTAGTTAAGAAGGCCTACGATGGCCTATTAACATGAATAAGGTTTTAATAATAAAAGAATAATCTTAACATCCCATTAAAAAAGTTTACTTATGATCACAGTCGAACCCAAATTTTATGTTGTTAAGTGAAACGTTTGTTAAGTGAGTTTTGCCGCATTTTATGACCTTTCTCGCCGTAGTCGCTAAGCCGGTCGTTGCCATTGTTAAGCTGGTGACAGAGCTGTTAAGTGAATTCGGGGGCCCCCCAATGACATCGCTTGTCCGAAGGTCACAAAAGCTGATCACGGGGGCCACAGGACGGTGCCACCGTCATAAGTACGAACCAGTTGCCGGGGTCAGGGATGCGGGTGGCCGAGAGGCCAATTTCCCCCCCCCCAACATACATAAACAGATGCTGGGATGAGATTCAGGGTACAGTATAATTTCTTCCTTTAAAAAGGTTGCTTGTTGTTTCTCAAAACTGACCGTATCGGCTGCCCGGGGGAAGAGAAAACCTTGTGGATGGGGGGAGGGTCAGGGACGTGAGTGTCGAGGAGACCTCGTTTTTTTTTCAACCGGAACACAAAAATAGATGACAGGATGAGATTCGGGTGGAATTTCATGCTTAAAAATGGTGCTGGGTTCCGTTTTTAAAACTCGACTGTATCTGGCGAAAATTCCTAACCCCTAGAGCAGTGGGGGTGAACCTATGGCACGGGTGCCAGAGGCGGCACTCGGAGCCCTCTCTGTGGGCACACGCACCGTTGCCCCAGCCCCGCCTCCTCCCATGGCCCCCTCCTCCCCAGCAGCCCCCCTGTAGGAGAGTCACCCCCGGGCACAGCCCACACAATGCTGCCCAGCCAAGGACACAGTAGCCGGGCAGTGGGAACAAGCCCTTGCACCCCATTGCGCGTAGATGGTGCTGCAGGGCACGGGCGGAGGGCGTGGCCACTATGGCGCTGCTGGGCTGCCTGGGGGATCTGTGGCAGGCCGTGGAGGGGGTGGGTGGTCCAGCGGGCACGGCAGAGCGGGGACGGGTGGGGTGGTGGTTTTGGGGCACTCGGTCTCTAAAAGGTTCACCATCACCGCCCTAAAGGTCTTTGGTAGTTGTGATCTGGAAGGTGACCGTCCTTTCTCTCTCTCTTTCCGTGCCACGATCTTCCTTGGTCCGCTCCTCTTCGGTGCCACAGGGCCAAGCGGGGGCCGTTCCTGCCACTGGAGAGGTTACCTGACTCCCAGCCTCTCTGCGGGATGCCACAGAGGGACGGGGGGGTGGGTGGGGGGGATGTCCCGGGGCGTCCCACGCAGGGCAGCGGAAGGAGGCGCCCAGGCCAGTGTGCTGTTTCGTGACTAGGGGGTGCCATGGCAGGGCTCCACAGAAGGCCGACTGACCCTGTACCGGTGCCAATCCTCGGTGCCAATCCCCCTTGAGAGCAAACTTTCAAGAAACAATCTGTGGGGTTTGATGCCAGTCTTCCCACACACCCCCCCATTTTAACACACGAATAAACAGATTTCCATACAGGAAGCAACAGGAACCGTTTGGCACCTGTGTGAGTCGGAACGCACACCCACACCTGCACCCAGGGTGTAGCGGGACCGTCTCATGCAAGGCGGCCGGTGCAGCTTCTCCTGTGGCTTGAGGGAGCCGGGGGGGGGGGACATGATGTAATCGGAGCCTGTCTGGAGCGCGGCAGGAGCCCGGGGGGGGGGTGCTGGGCGCTCACCACGTGCCGCCTCCGGTCTGAAGATTTGATGAAATGCCCCTATTACGATCCAGGGATCCGTGGAGCAAAGCCAGCGGACACCTGATCCCCTGGAGCCTCCCGGAGCCCAAGGCTGGAGCTCCGGCTCGTCTCTGCCTCCGGCCTCGCTGGGAAAAGCCGCCTCGGGGACCGGGGGGGGGCATGGCTGAGC